AATACAGATTGCTGCATTTATTGCTGAACCTGTGATGGGTGCAGGAGGTGTTATACCTCCGCCTGCAACTTACTTTGACAAGGTGTGTCATTAGCATCATCATGCTTTAAAGAAATTATGATTTCGTTATTTTCAAGCTGGTGACAAAGAAACTGCTTCTATATGTTTTCCATTATTTACGCCATTGTGGCTTGAATGGTGCGTTCAACCTTTTTGATATTAGTTCAAGGGTTAAAATAGAATGCCTATTTGCAGTTTATGTCTTTGCTAGCTGTGTAGTAAGTTATATATCGAAGTTGATAAATCCAATTTATATATAGTCTTGCCCTTCCCAAACTTTCATCTTGTATAACAATTATTCATGTGTGATTAATATAATTACCATTATGCTTTCTCCCTTTCCCTTGAAATCTCGTTCCCTTCTCAAATACCACAAAATATTGTTATTACTTGTGCAGATTCAAGCAGTTGTCAAGAAGTATGACATTCTTTTCATTGCGGATGAGGTACCATGCTATATTTTGTCCATAATTAAAATGGAGTTATGAGAACATTTTATTACTGAACTTGCTTCTTTCATATTTCTCTTTCGAAGGTCATCTGTGCCTTCGGAAGGCTTGGGACAATGTTTGGATGTGACAAATACAACATTAAACCAGACCTGGTGTCATTAGCTAAGGTAAACATGAAACTGTATCCAAACAAAGATTTATCTAGCACATGATTAGGAAGCGTGATCCACTGTATTTGACTTCTAGGCACTTTCTTCTGCATACATGCCAATTGGTGCGGTTCTTGTGAGCCCAGAAGTCTCAGATGTCATACACTCGCAAAGCAACAAACTTGGTATGGTGAATCATTTATTACTACATCTTCATGTGAAGCTCACTGTTGCTGACCTGATTTTTCTTATTTTAGGTACTTTTTCTCATGGGTTTACTTACTCTGGACACCCAGTATCGTGTGCTGTTGCAATTGAAGCACTAAAGATCTACAAGTGTGTTCCTTTATAGCTAGGGTCATAACCATAGGCATAGTCAATTTCAAGTATATGCAGTGAAATCAGTGATTTACAGTACCTTCCTCCATTTCAATTTACGAGACATTTCTTGACAAAATTACACATGCCAGAAGTTTATTAAATAGAGTTTACAATCTTAATTTTTTATAAACTTCCAAAAATACCCTTCATTAATAAGAGAGAGGGAAAGAAATTTATTTAAGAAGTGAAATAATGGGAGGTAATATTAAAATAATAATCATTAATAAAACTTTATTTTTATTAAAATGTCTTATATTTTGAAACACTAAATTGCTTCCAAAACTGTCTTATAAATTGCGACAGAAGTAGTATTATATTTGAATAATGGACTACGACTTAAGCACCACCATCCACTTATATAGATTAATGTTCAGGCTGATTATTATCATTATGATGATGATGATGATGATGATGATGATGTTCTTGATCTTTTGCAGGGAAAGGAATATTGTTGAGAATGTGAAGAGCATTTCCCCCAGGTTCCAAGATGGTGTAAAAGCCTTCTCCGATAGTCCAATCGTTGGGGAGGTACCTCTTGTTTGCTAACCAGTTTGTGATTTGTTCCTCTACTTAAAGGACAAGACAAAACTCACATGAAGTTCTTTAAGTTGGTGCTATCAAATTCTCTATTGAAAAAACTGTATGTAGTTCTTTTGATTGTAAAAAAGAACGTGTCGTGATATATCGGAGAACTTGATAGTAAACACTTAAAGACTCCACTTAGCTTTTGTCCCTGTACAAATTGTGTGACCGAGGCGTGAGAATAACTTCTTTGGCTCTGCAGATTCGTGGAACTGGTTTGATCCTGGGGACTGAGTTCGTCGACAACAAGTCGCCCAATGATCCTTTCCCTCCAGAATGGGGCAAGTTCAATTTTCCCTTTGGTTCCCATCTTTTCCCTTTAGATATCTAGAAGAATTACTCTTTAGGAAAAAAATTCCTGGGTAAAAATAAGCAGTGATGCCATGTCAGTGGTTAACCAAAATTGTCAGTCAACCATATAATAACGTCATTAACCACTAGTTAGTTTAATATTCCTGAAGCAAAGCCTTTTTTTTTTTTAATTGGAATTCCTAAAACATGGCTGTCCTAAATATATTTGACAGATGACTTTGTCATGTATGAATAGGCTTTAAATACAATTAAAGCTGCAAATATATCTTCTCCAAGGTCATTTAGAAGCTTGACACATAACAAGAATAATGCAGCTTCCTGTAAAGGAGAAGGAATAGAGTAATTTATGTAAAAGAGTGCCTTAGTTTAGCTTGCTGTCATTATGTGGACACGTTGGTTTATATTTCATTGTTGTGACATTTTTTTCGTCAAATAAATTATCACAGGGATAGGTGCCTATTTTGGAGCACAGTGTCAGGAGCACGGGATGTTAGTACGTGTAGCTGGAGATAACATAATGATGTCTCCACCATTTATTATCACCCAAGAAGAAATTGATGAGGTAACTAGACCTCTGATTCATTTATATTTCTCAGTCATCTTCATTTAGCCATTCTGTAAATTTCTACATCATTGAAAAAGCAAATTAAGTGATTGTAACCACCCAATTTACATCATTTGATGAGTTCTTTTAGACCCATCCACAATCAGATAATACAACTTCAAAATATTTCTCCTCATAATAATTCATTATGTACTGTCCTCTTCTATTATACTCATTTTTTCTCGAATGCTATCCACTGCTTACTCTTGTCATGTTATTCTTTATAACTAAGATCTTATTTGAAGTCTGATGTTGTCCATTTCTTCCCCCAGTTAATCAGAATCTATGGGATAGCTCTAAAGAAGACAGAGGAGAGGGTGCAGGAACTCAAGTCTCAGAGTAAGTAACGGATTTTTACTGATGCAGCTGATGATGATGATGATGATGATAATGGCGAAGAGTTTATTGGCTTAATGTATAGAGATATACTTATTTGTTGGTGAATTGGGAGACATTATTTCCAGTAATCTCTGTTCTGTCAACCTTTCCAGTTATCTTTCTATTCTGTAAATGCAAGTAAATCGTTTGTTTGGCTGATTCCTTCTAAAGTTGAATTTATCTTACGAAGTTATGCATTTAGTTCTTAAAACATGCTTAGTTACTTAATCAGGCTATTTGAATTGCATTTTTTTAATTAAACAAACTTAACAAAGGTTGACACTGTAGAGTGGCCAGTCTCAATGCAGGTTATATGAAGTTTAGCTTCTGATATTAACAAGGATTGAGTGGATTAGTGATAAAAAATCTTGCAAATTTGTGAGTTATATACTATCGAAGTCTTGAAAATTCTCACTTCAGGCCCAGGGTTAGCAAATACAAAGAAAAAGGCACATTATAATTTTTTGGATCTTTATAAATTACAAGTAATTAGGTTGTTCGTGTTATGAATAGTGAAACTTATCATAAATTTTATATTATGTATATAGAGCAGATTTGTTGCTCCTATGATTTATCACACACATGGTAGATAATAATTTTAAAACTTTTGGAAGATTGTATTTATTGAACATTTAAATTCAGTTAAAGTAAAGCGAATCGAGCAAATTAAAAGAACTTCTCGCGGCCCAAAAAGATCAAAAAAATAACGTTATCTAATAGGCGCTATTCTTACCTTGTAAACACTTGTTTTCTGTAAATTTTCATTTGGTATATTGATATTTATTGGTTGGGTTGAGATCAAATTTGGATTGTTAAAATTCAACAATAATATTCTTTAAAGAACTTTTGTTTCTTGAGAAAATGATAGTTACGGACCATAAGAATATTAATCACAATTTTTTAATTGCTAAGTACACTTTTTCAGTGTTAAAATTTAAAATGAGAGTACCTTTTTCTTTTTTCTTGACTGACATGATCCGAAATTTATTCGGTTACAGTCAATTTGTTACACTTGGCATCTCCCATCCTATTTCTCTCTTTCTGGTTTAGTTTTTACGTTATTCAAATAAAATTTAAGTATAAATTTAATGTTTTAATTGAAATGCTAGATTTAAAAAGAAGATCCATAAGTGAATTGGAAATTTGACTTAAAAGTTAAGACAATCGAGATTTACAAGGAAAATAATTGGCAAAATTGCATTTCTGAACCTTTAAACTTTAATGTTATATTAAGTTTTAATTTCATTCCTTAATTTTATAAAATATTTTTAAACATTTAATTCTAATGCCATTAGTTTTATTAATAAAAAATTATTCCCATTGAAATTTTAAATATTAATATTAAGTTTAATTTCTTAAAGATAATAATAATTGATATAAACAATAATGATGTGTGAATTTTTTTTGTGAGCGTTTAAAATTAGCATGTCAATACTTTTGTATTAATAAAATAAAAAATAATAAATTTAAATAATTGAAAAAAGATTATAAAATGAAATATTAAAGTGAAATTTTGAACTCTATCTATTAAAAAAGGTCAGAAATTTTTTAAGGGATTGGATATTAAAAAATATAAGGTATATTCTGTCTTTTAAAGTATAATTATTGTTTTTTTTAAAAAAAGATCATATTAAATAAATTACTTTATATTTATTTTAAGGGTAAAACACCTAATTAAATAGGGATAAATATAAAAAAATAAAATTAATTTAAAAATAAATAATAATTTTATTGGGATAAAATTTAATTAAAAATATCTTATATTTTTTAATGAAAGAATTATAAAATTAAAAAAAATTAAAGGTAAAATAATAAGTATAGACCTCATAAAAAATTAATATTAAATTAAAATTTCTTTATAATTAAAATTATTAAATTCGCTACTCTTTCTCTCATGTTTTAGTATTAAAATTTTTTTAAAAAATTAATTTAATATCAATATTTTTGTAAGATCTTTACTTGCCATCCTCTCAAGATTAAATGCGCATTTTTAACAAAACAATATTACGTCGGTAAAAACAATATTACGTCGGGCTTGCAAGTGTAAACATCTTATCTGCAATTACTCAAATGGATACTTGATTGTCGTGTCTAAAACCATAACAGCATATGTTATCACTTTACTTCAGATTAATCGTGAGGCAACTTTATACGAAGAACATCAAAGAGCTTCATAGAATCATCTTAATATGCATAATCTCTTGAACAGGAAAAGAGAAGAGAGCATAAAATAGAGGATTCAGATTCAAACTAAGAGTTGGTGTTTTTGGAAGCTTTTCTTCGGGCACGCCTCTCTCTAGAACTGGGTGACGGCTTGAAGCCACCATTTCCGTCATCTTCTGAATCGTCCAGATCTCTGAATGATTTCTGATTCCATCCAGCAAGAATTATCATACAATTAAAGCACATTCATTCATGAAAATGCGATGAATCGAATCTAATCGAATTGTCGCAGAAACACACACACACACACACAGAGGGGTTAGGGTTACCTCTCGAAGCTCAGCAAAACTAACAGCGTAGAAGGTGACAGCTGCGGCTGCTACAATTCCGAGAACAGGTAGAGCTAACTGCATCCCATCCATTTCTTTTCTCTTATGCTATCATCACATTCAAATCTCTCTCTCTCTCTCTCTCTCTCTCTCTCTCTCTCTCTCTCTCTCTCTGCGAGTCTGTTTTTATAGTTTCCTATTCGGGACCAATCTCTCTCTCCCCCCCTCTCTCTCTTTGTGATAAGGTTCTTGGCTTGCTGCTGCATTGCATAGCCTCAACCGCTGACTTACGGTGCGTGTTCACGGAATGAACTAGATGGCACATCAGGGTGAGATCTGGACCGTTTAAATAATTTAATTTGAATACTTTAAATTTAAAATTCTTCATTTTTATTTTTATTTATTAAAATATAAAATTATAAAAATTATTAAAAAAATGTGTTTATCACTAGCTTAACACTCTAGATTTAATCTGGATTATTTAAAGTTAATATTAAAAAATTTTATAATTTTATAAATTCATTATCCATATTTATGGTGGGCAATCTGGATTTAAAATTATCTTCACTTAGAGTCTCTAAATCACAAAAATTTGTACTGCATGCCTAATAGAATTTGAAAACACACTGCAAGCACAACGGCCCTTCTTGCAAATTTTGTTGTGAATAAAAAGATGTAATTGCCCTTGTCTCAAAGGCATGTCTATGTATGCACAACATGATGTCTACAAGCTTTCAACACAATGTTCACGAATGCACAACACATCTTGTGGACATGATTTAACTTGAAGTGAAATGTACAAGCAAGCAAATGATGAATAATACAATGTCCATCAATTCTCAACACGATGAATACATGTAGGCCTGCAACATTTGTACAACATAAAGTTCATAATAAACAATATACTTTCATTGAATAATATACTTTAAGTTAATGTCTGCTAGATATGTTGTACATTTATAAATATTTTATTAAAAATTTATGGATATTATGTTGTATATACGTGAATGTTTTATTGAGATAAGTAAGGGTGTAGCTAGAAAAATTTGTTGGGGGCCAAAATAATGAAGCATATATGATAATAATAAAAATAAATATATATATATATATATATCACTAATATAATATAAATATTTCAACCTATATATCTATATTCAAGTTTACACACACACACACAACAAAAATATATATATATATATATATATTAAGTTTTGTTTATTAATTTTTTATGACATAAGAATAATTAATTATCATGTTTATGGTAAAATTTTTAAAAATTTCCTTCTCAATATAAACTATTATTAAATTGACAAAAATTTCATCTTTTTTATAAGCATTGAATAATTTGAATGCATCCTTGGAATTTAAAATTTTGTTCAATATAAGAAACTCTATTATTTACTTATTAAATTTATTATCTAATTTTTTCAATTAATATGTTCTTCAGGTAATATATTTTGAGGTTTTTGTTGTAGTGTTTTAAAAAGTTTGTAAATAATAATTAGCATAATTTATTTCATCAAATGTAAAATGAAAGCAAAATTAGATTATATCAATGTTTTAAAAGCAATTATAATGTTCTTTTGTTAAAAATAAGTAGATTATATAGCAACTATATCTTCAAACTACTGCAATAGTTAGACTATACATACATAAAAGACTACCACAAAATTGAAATGAGAATTCCATCTAATGTCTCAAAACTTCTATAATATGTCAACTTAAAGATCGAAAATATATAATTCATACATTTTATTAAGAAAAAAATTAAAAAGTTAAGATATCGTGGCCCTTGCTAGTTCCCCTATCTCCACCCCTAGAGATAAAGGCAAATGTGTCTTTTCATCTACAACAAAATTTGCAAGAAGAATATTCGAGCCTGCAATGCGTTTTTAAATTCTATTGGGCTTGTAGTACAAATTTTTATATTTTTAGGACCCTAAATGAAATTCTTCCTATAAAATTTTAACTTAAATTTTTATTAAAAAATATGTTTTTTAAAAGTACGAATCAGGGTATTATCTTTATTTATTAAAAAAAATTTATAAAATATTTTAATAATAAATTTAGACTGTTCAGAGTAGATGATCAATTTATATAAATTATAAAAAATTTAATATTAAATTGGTCCATCCATATTAAATTTGCACTGTCATAATCGATAATAAATTATTTATTAAAAATTATAAATTTTATTTTAATAAATATAAAATAAAAATACAAATAAAAAGTAAAAAAAATTAAATCCGGATAATCCAGATTTCATCACTAGCATGAAAAGATTTAAAGTATTTCTTATCATTCTTCTTAGTTTTGACCTGGATTTAAATATGATGGGTGGCTTAAATCTATTCACTCATGTCTCATGTGAAATTATAACAACCATTTGATTTAGTCAAATGTATTAAATATTTTTTCATAAAATATTTAAACAATTCAAATCTCAATTTTTTTAAAGGGATAGATAGTGTTATGATCATAATAAATGTTTTGAATTTTTAGAAAAAAATGCATCTTAATAGTTTACAAATATTAATAAAATTCAATGGGAGAATTTGATAATTGAGTGTGTGTCTTAAGACCTGTCACTAAATCTAAATCTGTTTGTGATTTACTTTCATGCTTTATATAAAAATCCATGAAATTTGTTTATTACGTTAAAATACTTTTTTAAAATATCTGTCTTTTAATGCTCAATATCTTTGTAAAATGTTATTACCAGTTAAGATATCCTATTAAATTTACCCCAAAAAAAATCCTATTAATTATCAGAAATAATCGTTGAAAAGTAGCATAAATATCTTATACATTGATTATAAATGATTAAATTAATTAATTTTCTTAATCTTAATGAATTAGTTGAGAAGCTTCTATATTTAGGAGTTAACGATGACTACGTTTTTAAATATTAAGCAGATTTTAGCCTACTTATATAACTTATGAAAAATTGTTAATCCTAATAATTATGTTTCAAATTAAAAATTTTGAACCAAAATAATATTGTGATTAATTAAATAAATTTGTCTTGTGAAAATAAAATTTAATCTTCTAATGGTCAATTTGGAAAACATATAATAAATGTTTTTTGAATTTTATAACTTGACTTAAAAAAAAAGTTTTTCTTATAATAAAAAATGAAGGGAGTGCAAAATTATTGCTCCCATCTCAAGATAATTTTTACTTGTTGTCATCCTTTATAACGTGTTTGGTTGGTGGGGAAGGTAGAGGAAATTTGTATTAGTTTATTTTTTTAAAAAAATAGAGAAGTTGGATTGAAAGCTTTTAATTAATTTTTCTTATTTTGTTTCTTATATCTTCTCTTTATTAAAATTCTATAACACCACTTATCTATTTATTTTAAAAATGATCCCATTAGTTAAAATTGATGCCAGTTTTTTAAACTCCGGTAGACAAAAGTAAGATCGAATTATGCTGAGTTATTTTCACTTTTTTTTATTTAATTATATGTTCGGGTCAAATTTGAGTATTGTTAGGGTCAATTTAAGGTGACTCTCTCAAAAATGTTTTATTTATTCATCCAAACTCAAATTTGAGAACCGGTGCTTAAATGATCATATTTTTTTTTTTACCAGAATAAACGCCTGTCAGTTCATTTTTATTTTTTTAAACTGTGAGTTAATTTTCAATTGAATTTTGTAATAATCATGGGTCACCCAAATATTATCAAAGCGACAGGTCCAACCCGTCGGTTTTTATTTTTTTTTAATATTGTTGGGTTTTGAATGTTAGCTTGGCATGAGTCACCGACCCAACTGAGTTAGGCAAAATGAAATTAGAGAAAATAATAATAAAATATTTTTAAATTATAAAAATAATGATTTGATTGCTTAAAATATTATAATTTTAATAAAGTGCTTAGAAACCTTTATATTAATAAATTTTAAAACAAAAAGATTATTTTATTTTTAGTAAAAATAATAAGCTTCAATTATAAATTTTGTTTAAAGAATTACAATTCTTTATTATGTAAATAACAAGGGTTGAATTAGAAATTTACAACTTTTCAAATGTAATTTCAGTATTAATTAAAAAATAAATTTTAATTATAACTTTTACTTAAAGAATAACTAACTTTTATTTCGTAAATCATAAGAGTTGAATAAAAAATTATAATTTATCAAGTATAATTTTTATTATTGAAAAATAAAATTTTAAAATAACAAACTACATTTATAACTTTTATTTAAAGAATCATAGCTTTTATTCAAAGAGTCAAAGTTGAATAAAAAATTATAAATTATTAATAAAAGTAAAATAATTTTTTTAATTAAAAATTTATTGATAAAAAAATATTTAAAAATTTCAGTAGAATTTTGACATTTTAAAGAATCAGATTATTATTTATATAAATTTAAAAAATAGCTTTCTTTTTTTATGGAACGAAAAATAGCTTTCTAAAGGCAAAAAAAACGTCGATGGCTTCAATTCATCCTATTGCTTTATTGAATTTGACGAGTCAACCATTTGAGATGCTTCGCCTCAACCTAGTGGTTTATTGAATTTGGCAAATCAATTCGTTTGTGACATAGTCACATCGAAATTCTCTAATCATAATTCTAAGCTCATGGCCTCGCGGGTTTGATTCGTTGTTCATTTCAAACTATTCATTTGTTCTTGTAATTCAAAAGAAAAAAATTGATTAATAAATTTTTAACTTAATTATAACTCAATTTATGAATTTTAATTCGATCTAACTCAAATTTTTTAATTCTGATTTAATTTAAACTTAATACTTAAATTTTAACTTAATTTAAAATTATAAAGACAAAAGCTAGTTCTTAAAATTTAAGTTGCCAACTGGATTAATTTGAGTCCAAAATCTAAGATGTAGATGTTCATTTTAAAAAAAATACTAGTGTTCTATATGGTTAAAATATTAAGAATTAAATTGCACTGAATTAAAATTCTATAACTAAGTTTTGAATAAGTCAAAACCATAGGCACTAAATTAAAATGGGTTTGAGTTTAGAAATTAAATTACAATTAAGTTAAAATTATATAGATCAAATGATTAATTTTTCTTTAAAAAACATATTGATTGATTGTCCATTTTATTTTTGTTATATAAAACAAACACATCATTTTTCTTCACTGAAAAATATATTTACATTTAGCATTGGATCATATCTTAAATATAATTACTTCTAACAGAAGGCCACTTATGTGGAGTAAAAAAAAAAATATACATGTC